ATACAGCTCTTCATGTTGTGGTGACCCCCAACCATAAAATTATTTTCGTTGCTACTTCATAACTGTAATTTTGCTACTGTTATGTCTTAAGTGACCCCTGTGAAAGGGTCATTCGACCCCCAAAGGGGTCGCGACCCACAGGTTGAGAACCTCTGTCCTAGAGGACGGGGAAGAGGAAAAAGAAAGGGGGCAGGGTGAAGACAGGAGAGCTAATCTCCCTACACACACACACACACACACACACACACACACACACCCCTCCCGGGGCTTCAAGGAGGGAGAACCACAAAACTCAAAACCTATTTTAGGTGGGGGAGAGGCAAGTAATTAAAAGCATTGGCTTTAATTTTTCCACCATTGGATTTGCAAAGATCTGAAATATGATAGCACCTGGTAAGAGGCACTCCACTCCCCAAGAGAAGTCCTTAGGGAAGTGAAAATACAGAGTCTAACATCTCAAGGGAATGGATTGGTGACACGTACAAACTTTTCATTCTGATTATCCTCTGACCTAGGAAACCTATTTTATCCTATGGAAATAATAGGGCAAGCCGGGAATCTATACATAGAGAGATATTTATAATACCATTGTTAATCATAAAGAAAAGTGGAAACTACATAAATGTCTATCCATAGATAAATAGTTAAATAAATTACAGTTCATTGCTGCTTTGGAAAACAGTTTGGCAGTTTCTTATAAAACTAAACATACACTTACCATATGACCCAGCTGTTGCATGTCTGGGCATTTATCACAGATAAATAAAATGTTCACACAATATGAACATAGCCACTTTGTTCACAATAACCCCAAATGGGGGAATGGTTAAACACACTGAAGTCCATCCATGCTGTGAAATACAACTCAGCAATCGGGGGTGGGGGGTGATTGATACACACAATTTGGATGGGTCTCCATTGAGTTATGCTGACCCCCACCCAAAAAATCCAATCTCAAAATGTTGCCTACTGTTCAATTTCAGTTAGATAACTTTCTTGAAATAACAAAAGTATAGAGAAGAAGAACAGATTAGTGATCACCAAGGGTTAGGGAGGTTTGAAGGGTGTGTGTCTGCAAAGGAAACCTTGTAGTGATGGAACATTTTTGTATCTTGATTGCGGTTTTGATTACAAGAATTACACACATCATAAAATTGCATAGAACTACACACACACACACACTCACACACACACACACACACACACACACATGCATATGAAACTAATGAAATTTTAATAAAGTGTGTAGCCCTGGCTAGTTAGGCTCAGCAGTTGGAGCGTCGGCCTGCGGTCTGGAGGGACCCGGGTTTGGTTCCCGGTGGGGGCACGTACCTTGGTTGCAGTTTGTCCCCAGCCCTGGTTGGGTCGTGGGGGTGGCGGCCTCTTGATGTGTCCCTTTTGCGTAGATGTCTCTCTCTCTCTCTCTTCCTCTCTCTCCCTCCCACTCTATCTAAACGGAAAGTGGAGGGGGTGTCCTCGGGTGAGGATAAAAATAAGTAAATAAATACATAAAGTGTGTAAATTGTGCTGAAGTCAATTTCCTGGTTTTGATATTGTACTATAGGTAGTCAAGATATTACCACTCGAGAAAACTGGGTGAAGCATACACGAAACCTTTCTATACTACTTTTTTTTGCAACCTTCTGTGAATTCATCATTTTTCAACATTTAAAAATTTTAAAAATACAGTGCAATGGACTTTCATTTCACTATTAAAATTATAATGTGAAGAACCATGTAGAAGAGAAGCACAGCAGCTCCCTGGCCCACGTGGCCCAGTTGGCAGAGCATCATCCTATGCACCCAGAGGTCACCAGTTCGATTTCCAGTCAGGGCACATGCTCAGGTTGTGGGTTCAGTCCCTGGTCAAGGTCAGGGTGCATACAGAGACAAAAGGTAGTGGGCCTGATCCCCAGTGGGGCATGCAGGAGGCAGCCAATCAATGTTCTCTCTCATCCATGTTTCTCTCTCTCTCTCTCTCTCTCTCTCTCTCTCTCCCCCTTTGTCTCTCTCTAAAATCAATTAAAAAAATTTTTTTTAAATACAGCTTGGAGAGATTTTCATAACAGTACCTAGCCAAGCACTGTAGGGACAGCAAGGATTTATTTAACCAGTCCCTTGGTAAGAGCCCGTTGGGTTGGCTCCAGTCTCTTGCTCTAACAGACAGTGTAGCTGTACTTGAATAATTTCCTGTATGTCTAAGTTCATCATCTTTCCTTTTTTTTTTTACTACTCACCCAAGGATATGTTTTTATTTGATGTTAGAGAGACAGGAAGGGAGAGAGAGAGAAACATCAACGTGAGGGAGAAACATACGCTCCCCAACCAGGGATCAAACCTGCAACCTGGGTGTGTACTCTGACCAAGAATCGAACTCACAGCCTTTTGGTATATAGGACAACACTCCAACCAACTGAGTCACCGGGCCGGAGCTGCCCACTTTTATATCAATCTAAACTTTTCCTCATCAACCCCTAGAAAATCTTTACCTAATAGGAAAATTAGCTCTTTGTTTACTATTTGAGTTGCAAATATTTATCCTAGTTTGTCCTTTTTGTCTTTTGACATTACAAATGGTCTTTTTGCCATGTGAAAGTATATATCATGTTCTTTGGCCATGTCTGAGCTTTTTCTTTATCTTTTCCTCTTTTTTGCTCTATCCCCCATTCCTCCCCCCACCCCACCCCCCACCCTCTCAACAGCTGTAATAAAAATTATCATTATGTTCTGTTTTGGCTTCTGGATTTTGAATCACAGCTATAAAGGCCTTCCCCACTCTAACATTGTGGAGGGATTGTCTAGTACTTTCAAGGTTTTGTTATTTACATCAGAATCTCCAGGCCATTTACCTTGAACCTGGAGTTCAGTGTAAGATACAGATTCTGTGTTTTTTTCTGGTGGTCATTCATTTGTCTTCACGTTATTTATTAACATATATGTATATTTCAAAAGAGAATCGAGACTTTGAGTCATGGCGTGCTGGACTCTTATTTATTTGGCTGTGTTATCTTGGGCAATTCACTAACTCTCAGAACCTCAGAGAAGAGATGAGGGAAAGGGGTGAAAGGAAGCCACTCAATGAAGCCACTGAAAGGTTAGAAATGTTTCAGGTGAGCCCAGCCGGTGTGGCTCAGTGGTTGAGCGTCGACCCAGGCACCAGGAGGTCGCCGGTTCAATTCCCGGTCAGGGCACATGCCCAGGTTATGGGCCTGATCCCCAATGGGGGGCATGCAGGAGGCGGCCAATCACTGTTCTCTCTCATCGCTGTTTCTATCTCTCTCTCCCTCTCCCTTCCTCTCTCTCTAAAATTAATAAAGAAAAAAAAGAAAAGAAGAAAAGAAACGTTTCAGATGAGAAAGCTGACCTACAGCAAAGACCTTGGGCCAGCTTGTCCACCCTCTCACAGTATGAATGGGGAAACAACCTTCAGGGTCTCTGGACTGTAAGGCTGGGCCCCGGCACACACAGAGGGAAGGGGAGACTGGCCTCACCACCCAGCGGGGATCAGGCCGAAGCAGAAGTGGCACCTCCCCAGCACTCCACGAAGAAGCTGTGGCTTCCACCGCTCCCAGGAGCAAACCACCATTTCCACTTCTGCTTGCAGCCTCCAACATCCCTGTCTCCATCCCTCCAGAGGCCACCCACCCGTTACCCTCCCCCCCTTGGCCACCTCCATCAACTCATCACCCTGCAATTCATAATACAGGGTCCCTGGGAAACAGGCATCCCTGACCTGGCCTGCAGGACAGTTCCCATGGACTGTGGGGAAACGAAATGCCTCCCAGGAGGGCGTGTGCCTGGGCTCTACAGCAGTCCAGCGGCCAAGCTGGACTCAGCCCAGGGCTCCAGGCTCCAAGCTGAAGTCTGTCCCTGCCACTTGGCAGCCTCTCGATGGTGGCCTAGTGGCTGAGCTGCTGTGTGGATGAGTAAGACCCTATTTAGCCAACAGAGAGATAAGGAGACCTTCAGAATACAGAACAGAGCCTGTGGAGGATGCAAATTTGATCAGCAGTTCCGGTGTTTAGCGCCTGGACTATGACACTGGGCAAGTAACTTGACCTCTCTGTGCTTTTCTCATCTGCAAAATGAGGCCAACGAGACGTATTTCCCAGAGAGAGAGACTCGAACAACCATTTCCATGAGCTACACGCCCAGGAATAGGGTCTGATCCGAAGTCCCTGGCCAGGAATACGTCTGAGCTCCAGACTTGGGAACCCTTGCCTTCCTCCTGGAGCTGACCAGGTACCCCCAAAGCGCACCCTCTCCCCAACAGCAGCAGGGCCTGCTGAGCCAGCCATGCTCCTGTAGTGGCCCCACCTGTCCCTTCCAAACAGCTGCTCCTGCCAACCACAGGCTGGAGCCTCACCTCCGGCCTCACCCTGACCCGGGTGAACATTGACCCCAAGGTCTCAGGAGAAAAGCCCTGACAGATGCTATTATTAGCCCATTTCATAGGTAGGGACAGCAAGGGCATGCCAAAGCCCCACAGGGAGTCTGAGACCAAGCCAGCACCAGAGCCGTTTCCCTGACACACTCTGTCCCCCAGGCTCCAGTCCAGGTCACTCTGAGAACGGCCCCTGCCCCAATTTGCCCAGCACAAACTCTGTGCCAGGCACTTGCTCTTGTCACCTGAGGTGCAGGTAACTGAACTAGCCCCATTTTACAGATGTGGAAACTGAGGTCCAGAAAAAAAAGGTCCAATAACTTGCCCCAGGCCACATGAGGGCAGTTAAGATTTGAACCCAGCACCTAATGACTCCTTAATTTAAATTGCCTTTTTTCAAGAGCATAGATCTCTACATTCTTCACAATTTGAAGTTGCCACTAGGAGCCCAGAAACTGGTGAACGGAATAAGGTGGGTACCAGCCTGCTGCTCCTGGGAAGTCCCCAGCCTGGTGCCGCCTGGGTAGGGACATGCCCAGTGCCTGCTGGGGAACCCGAAGAGGAGGACAGAGGGCTGGGGGAATGGGGAGTAGAGAGGCTCAGGGGAGGGGCTGACCTGTGAAGCTGCTGCTGTCTGCCTGCTGCGCTGCTGCCTTCTGCAAGAGGAAGGAGAAGTCAGGAGCCTCTGCGTCGGAACAGCCTCTCTGCTCTGTTCACCCCACATCCGCAAACCCCTTTACTTCTCTCTGCCCTCTTCACCCCACGCCCGCACACCATGCTTTCATTTCACTTCTTCTTTCACCGAAAGGAGCCTTTTGCTTCCTGTGCGCTGACAGCCATGCCCAGCTCAGCCTTGCGCTCAAGGCCCAGGGCCTGCAGCAGTGGAGTGCTTGGAGCCAGATGGAGCCAGAGGAAGGCTGCAGGGCTCAAGACCCACCTTAGCACTGCACCTGGGCCAAGGGATGCCACCTCTCTGGGCCTCGGTTTTCCCATCTGTATGAAAGGGAGGAGGAGCCCTGCCTGACCTGACAGTCAAAGAGATTGATGATGACAAGGACCTCAGGCAAGGGCTGGGTCGGACTGCCAGGTTCAAAGGCCAGGCCCACAGGCTGGATGACTACGGGCACCTGACGCTGCAGCCTCAGTTTCCCCTGTAAAATGGACACAGTGACAGCAGCACCTCATGGGGTAGTGTGTTTATAAGAGTCAATGCTGCAACATCACAGAAAGTGCTTCCTAAAGCACTCAGTGTTCCCAGATGGGAAGCCTGGGGCGGACAAGGGCCGGGCCCAGATACCCGGTGGAGAGCCCTCTGGGGAAGGGACTCACTGAGAGCAGAGCTCAGAACACGTGGCTAGAACAGTGGGGCTGGAAGGCTGATCATCTTCTCCTTGAGCCAGGGGTCTGGACAAGCCTGTCCTACACCAGCCATTTCCTCCAGAGGCCCCTAAGGAACAGGGGCAGGGGTCTGTGTGTGCAGGTGGGGAGACAGTGCTCTCTCTTGTCTGGGCCCCAACCAGACTCCCTGGGAAAATTCTGACGAGGAATGTACTCCCTTTCCCCTGAGGGTGGGGTGGGTGGGAGTGGGGGGTGTAGCAACAAGGAGAAAGAAGGCAGGTCCCAACACGGTCTCTTCTCTGCCCCCTGCCCGAGGACCTAGCATCAGCCCAAGCACAGCCCACAGGTAGCTCAGGTGGCCTCTGTGGGAAGGGAGAGGGGAGCTGCTCCTTGGAGAGCAGGAAGGTTCTGGGAGAGAACAGGCCCCCCAATCCCAGCTGCAGTGCAAAGGCTTTGCAGGGCCCCCTATGCACCTGTATCCTGAGCCCTCAACCACATCCTCGCTGGGTCTACACCAGCAGTTCTCAATCTGTGGGTCGTGACCCCTTTGGGGGTCGAACAACCCTTTCACAGGGGTTGCCTAAGACATAACAGTAGCAAAATTACAGTTATAAAGTAGCAACGAGAATAATTTTATGGTTGGGGGTCACCACAACATGAGGAACTGTATTAAAGGGTCACGGTTGAGAACTGCTGGTCTACACTTTTCCGCACCCACCACCCTGGCTTTGACCTCCTTTCTGAGGTTCCCGGCTACCTCAGGTTCCGGCACCAGCAGCCTTCCTCCCCAGCTGTGTGTGCACCCAGGTGGCTGTTCTCAGGGCCACGGAGGACGTCCTGCTTGCCCGAAGCCCTTCTATTTTTCAATCCAGGATCTGTGCCAGCTTCACTGGGCCTCACCTCAGTTGGGGATGCTGCTTTCCTCGCCTGCACTCCAGTACCTGAAATTCTCTGCCAAGAAACTCCCCAGCTCAAAAGCCAACAGTGGCTTCTGTGGATGAAAGGGAGTCACATACTAAACCTGACAAGCTCAGGGGAGGCCTGTGTGGTGGCCTTACAAACTCAGGGACCTAAAGTAACTACAAAGGATGGTAACTTTTTATCTAAAAGCAGTTTATGGCAGGTAGTCATGTACTAGGCTGGAATCTTCCCTGATAAAAGTCAATCTTTATCTTAACTGAGCCTGTCTATTGTCATTTTGCATCTACAATAACATACATCCGGGATGTCTAAGTAATTTCCTTTTCCCAGGTCCCACACTAGAACAGAGACCACAAATCCTTTCATCGTTATTGAGTTAACTATTGACTGTTAACTCTCCTGCATCCACCTATGGAAAAGATGTATATGTTTATCATTTTACTTTTTATCCAATCCCAGAAGTCCCCTCCCCCCACCCCAGCTTTGCTTTCTTCCACCTCCCTAGTCTACCACCAATGGATTTCATGTAACCCCCTTACATCTGTCTTCTCTTTTGACTGTGATGTATAAAATAAGATGCAAAAGTGCCATTCTTCAGCCCTGGTCGGTGTGGCTCAGTTGGTTGGGCATCATCCTGTGCACTGCAAGGCTGCCCGCTGGGTTCCCAGCCAGATCCCGCAGTGGGGGTGCAAGAGGCAGCCGATCAATGTTGCACTTTCACATCGATGTGCTTCCCTCTCCTTTCCCCTCTCTCTAAAAATCAATTTAAAAACAAACAAATTCTCCAGAACATTTTCTCAATCCATTGAGATTTTGCTTCTTGGCAATTGTCAATTTGGCTCAAATAAACTCACAAAAATTCTCCATGGGTTTGAATGTTTCTTACATTGACATTCCCTACTGCCTCATGGCCTAGCCCCGTCTAACTTTTACTGCCACCCGGTTCTGGATGTGCTTCAAGACCCACTTCCCCGCTATGTCCCAGCTGTGACATGCACAAGTACCTGTGCAGCAACTCAGCTCCTGTCCATTCCTTAGGGCGCCTGCCTCCTCTGGGAAGGCTTCCCTGCCTCCTTTCCTCCATAAAACATTCCAGATGCTTCAGCTGTAGGAGGCATGCCAGCCCCTTGTTCAGTGCCCAGGGCAAGGAAGAGGGCAAGCCACCTCCCACTCCCCACCCTGGGAGAGCCACACACCATTCCACGTGGGGGCTACTCACACTGGTGATCTGTGACAAGACACTATGTAGGATCCTCGACAGGACATTAGATAAACTGAGTCACATCTTGAAAAAGTCATATACTTTTCGTACATCGGGGAGAAGCCTCCATGGAGGCTTCACTTGTTTCTAACTGGTCTCTACCACTGCCTTATGCCTTCCCCCGCCCATTCTTCAACTTTTTATTGGACATAGAAACAATATCTTATTTATTTATTTATTTTTAATCCTCACCCGAGGACATTTTTCCATTTTTTTTGTTCAGGCGGAGTGGGAGGGAGAGAGAGGAAGAGAGAGAGAGAAACATCGAAGTGAAAGGGACACATCGAGTGGCTGCCACCCGCACGACCAACCAGGGCCAGGGACAAACTGCAACCGAGGTACGTGCCCTTAGCGGGAACCGAACCCAGGTCTCTCTGGACAGCGGGCCGACGCCCTAACCGCTGAGCCAAACAGGCCAGGGCACAATATCTTATTTTTAATGATCTTTTATTGTGGCAAAATATACTTAACATGAAGTTTACCATTTCAACCATTTCTAAGTACAGTTCGGTGGCATTAAGCACATTCACATTGCTGTGCAACCATCACACCATCCGTCTCCAGAATGTTCCATCTTCCCAAACTGAACTCTGTCCCTACTAAACGCTAACTCCCCATTCCCCTCCCCCAGTTCCCGGCAACCACCATTCTACTTCCTGTCACTATGGATATAACTGTTCTAGGTACCTCACATAAATCATACAGTATTTGTCTTCTTGTAACTGGATTATTTCATTGAGCACCATGTCTTTACGGTTAATCCATGCTGTAGCATGAGTCAGAATTTCCTTCCTTTTTAAGGTTGAATAATATTCATTTGAATGTATAGACCATATTTATTTCTCCATGTGTCCACCAACAGACATTTGGGTTGATTCTAGCTTTTGGCAATTGTGAATACAGTAATGCTGCTATGAACATTGGTGTACATATTATGTCCCTTTTAAAGAAGTTTCTAGCTGGATTAAAGATGTTTGTTTACATGACGTTTATTTTTATGATTTTCTTCTATTTATGTCAACTGATACAAATTTCCTATTCCTGAAATACATGTATGTTCTAAAAAGTAAAATGACTTCTAAAAAACCTGCTAAGCAAATAATGGCACAAGCACTAAGTGTTGATGGCAAAATGGTAGCAGAGATACAGGACAGAGAACTGCTGAAGTGTAAGAAATACTGACACAAGCCTCAATCAAAAACTCCACTGTGGCCCCGCCAGTGTGGCCCAGTGGAATGAGGGTCACCCCATGGACTGAGAGATCCCATTCCATTCCCCCTTAGGACACATGCCTGGGGTTGCGGGCTCAGTCTCCAGTAGGGGGCGTGCACAAGGCAGCCTATCAATGTATCTCTCACATCGATGTTTCTCTCTCTCTCTCCCTTCCTTTCTCTCTAAAAAAATCAATAAAAACCCCACTGTGGTCCAGCCGGTGTGGCTCAGTGGTTGAGCATTGACCCTTGCACCAAGAGGTCGCCGGTTTGATTCCCGGTCAGGACACATTTCCAGGTTGTGGGCCAGGTCCCCAGTGGGGGACATGCAGGAGGTGGCCAATTGATGTTCTCTATCATCAATGTTTCTATCTCTCATTCCCTCTCTCTAAAATCATAAAGGGGGGGGGAATAAACCCCACTGTGCTGATCCCTGGCCTGTTTGACAGGGTTGTGCAGGAGGCAACCAATCCATCTCTCTCTCCCTCCCTCCCTCCCTTCCACTCTATCTAAAAAAATCAATAGAAAAATATTCTCAGGTAAGGATTAACAAACAAAAAATAAAACCCACTGTGCCGAGACTGGGAGAGAAACCCCTGGGGGGTGGGCACTGGGGGCTGACACCAGATTAGCATGTCCTGAAGGCTGCATGGAGGTGTGGTTTTAGGAACAAGAGTGACAATGGTAAACTGAGTCAGATCTGGGTTCTGAGCCCTCCCAGCTATGTGACCCTGGGCCTACCTCTAGACTTCCAATCCCCACTTTTCTCACTATGAGATGGTATTAACAACACCCAGCTCACAGGGTAAGTGTAAAACATAATTCATGTGAACCAAGTCTACAGTCAGCACCCACCTTAATTCCAAGAGTGGGTATCTCTCCCCACCCCACACCCTGTAAGAGACACTGCTAGGACAAGTATTTTTCTTCCTGTCTTTAGAGGGAAGGCCCAACTGTGATGGTGTTATAATTGGAGCTTAGGTTCACCATCCACTCAGCCTCTTCCACCTCCTCCCTACCCCACCTCTGGAAACTATGGAAGGAACTCTGAGCTCTTGGTCCATGGCAGCCCTTGGTGGCTATGGTGCTTCGGGTATGTCTGAGCCAACAGCCTCCCTGAGCATTTCCCCAGCTTTAAAATGGGGACATCCCAGTGCTCTGAGTACTCTATATGTGAATCTCACAGGTCTGAGGTGCACCTTAAGCTGCTCTTGGAGCCTGGGCAGCAACATTTACAGATTAATTTGCTCACACACGTCACATATCCCCACAAAGATCTGTCTCTAGATGTCAGATTTTATCAATGTTTAACCATGCAAATGCTAAGCAACTGAAAAAGAGCGAAACTGCAAATCTTGCAAAAAAGTGTGGGATTTCATGAAGTTGATGGAAGTAATGCCATAGAAATGGAGCAGCCACTGACCACAGAGGAAGGGAACTTCTGTAAGAGAAATGACTGTGACCTTCCAGAGAGGATTGTTTGATCATTAAAGGATTCAGAGTGACCCTTGGGTTCGAAACCCTCAAATATTTTTGCAAACATGACCCTTTTATCGCCAAGAGCCGGTTCTTCCATCGTTCTAATGGGTGCATGATTGCAATCATAATCTAAACATTGTTAAGCATGGGTTAAAACTAATTTATCTTCAACATTTTTGGTTTATTTTTCGAGGTAAAGTCTCAATCTGGCCAGGTTTACCCCCAGTATTTCTGAATTGTTTGTCCTCTTTCTGGATGTATTCACCTCAGACTGCCCTCTAGGGCACAGTGTCTGGTGAGAGGCCCTCCCAGAGTCTGCCCCGTCCCCTCCCGCCAAAACCGCAGACCCCCGCCCCTCCCAAGGCAGGAAACCCCAAAGCGTCTGGGCGCTATCGGGGCACCGACTTGCTGCTCCAAGTCCACTCGGTAGCAGAGCTGGCACTAGGCAGAAGCAGTTAACAAAAGTGAGCTTCATCCTGAGGGCTCCACGTGCTGAGCCCGGGACAGGCGGTGCCCGCTTCTGCTGCGGGGCACCTAGCACTTGGTTGGCACTCGGGAAGCCTGAGGCGGGAAAGCCGAGCCCCGCGGGGTCTCCAGCCTCTGCCTCTCGCCGCCCAGCCCTCGGCCCCCATGCGGGGGTGGAGCTTCTGTCGGGGTCCCGCCCGCTCCGTCGCAGAGCCAGCCGCCCAGGCCTGCGCCCCTCGCCCCGAAGTTAGGCGGGTGCCCTCACCCCAGCACCTCAGCCGGCCGGGGTCACAGCCCAGCTGCAGCTTGCGGGCGCCCCCCGCCCCGCCGGCTCCTCTCCCCCCGCCCCCCGGCAGAGAGGAGGAGACTCCGTGGCCCTCCCTCGGCCCTCCCGGCGGCGGCCACAGCCAGCCCGGCGCCCGCTCCGCCCAGCCGCGGCGGGTCGGACGTCCGGAGCCCGCGGGTTCCTGGCCGAGGTGAGCGGGGGCGGCAGTACGAGGGACAGGAAGCCACCACGTCCCTGAAATCCCCTCCAGGCCGCGAATCTTCCGCGGGAGGGAAGGAGTTAAGTTGGGGGGAGGCGTGCTGGAGAGAGGGGAGCAGCGGGGGCTTCTGCGTCCGCAGCAACCCCCAAACTCAGAGTAGAACTTCCTAGCCTCCTCCCCGGGCTCCCTCACCTCCTGGGCCCCTGGGCCTCCGGTGTGGAGGGGCTGCGGGGTCGGGGGAGACAGGGCCCCCCACGGAATCCGCGGGCCGGGCCGGACGGGAGGGGGCATCGGGCGGGGGCGGATTTTGGAACTCTCCCGGGGGACCCAACGTAGTCACCATGGCGAGCGCGGGATGGACGGGCGGCACGGGCCAATCGGTGCATGGTTCACCTCCCGGGCCAGCTAGGCTGCCAATGGGGACCGCGCGGTGTGGTAGGCGGGACAGCGCCGCGCGGGCCCGGGAGCCCCCCGCCGCCCTCCGCCTGCCGCTAGGGGGTGCGGGGTGGCTCGCTGGACCAGGGCGGCCCTGGACGGGGCAAGGAAGTGCGGGCTAAGGCGACTCAGGTCGTGGAAGGACAGAAAGCGAATTTCTGGAAGGGATTGGGGTAGGTGGGGCGACGGCCAAGTGCAAAGGAATGTGCTCTAGTTGCCCACCATTCTGATGGTATCAACGGGTGATACCTGGCAATCTTGCCCCCCCCCCCCGCCGTGGCTTCAGTTTCTCTATCTTAAGTGGGGGTTGTTCAGGGTTGTGGCGTTGGATTGGTTCAGGTTGATACTAGGTCTGCCCACTTGTTGGACAGAGCTTTCAAGAATCTTGTTAGTCCCTCTCTCCATCAATAAAGATAAGGAAACAGGTCCAGAGAAGACAGGGACTTGCAGATGTCACACAATATAACAGTGGCAGAGCTGCGACTAGTGGGGTGTCTTCTTTGCGAGAATGAATAGATCAAGGAGTTACTGAGGACTCCTACCCTCTCCCATATCGGTTATGTTTGGCCACTTGGCCAGATGCCTGAGAACCCCATTGTAGAGGTGCCCCTGAAATAGACATGACCCAGAGGAGAAACATCCAGCACTCCAGCCTCCCCAACACGCCCCCTCCCACTTTGCTGCTGGTCCTCTATGTGGATGTGGGCAAGTGCTGCTCCCCTGGGCCTCAGATGGGCCATTTGTAAAGAAAGAAGTTATAATCAGTGATCAGGCTTTGTGGCTGCTTTGTCTGAGATGGGGGTATCTGGGACAGTCCAGGGATGCCTACCCCAGGGCTCAGGTCCAGCCTGCAGGCCCAGCTTGCCTCTCATCCTTCCTCCCTCTCAGTCCTCTCCTGGAGGTCCAGTGGCTGGAGCCCAGGCAGCAGGTCAGAGAGACAGGTGCCCACAGTTTGTGGGCTGACCAGCCTTGGACCCTGCACTTATCCAATCAGGCTGTCCTCTGCGGTTTCCTGCTGGGCTCTGCTCCCTGCCCACAGCCAGGCCTGTGGCCAAGGGCCAGCCCCATAGCCCCACCTGAAAGGTTCTGGGAGGACATCGGGGGTTTCTGAGCTGGAGGGAGGAGTTGGGCCACCAGGCACACCCCCAATCCCTTTAGCTGGCCCCCATCCAGGCCTCAGCATTGCTTACTCCTCTCATTGAATATTGAGAGTCATCTAAACATGCTTAAGACAAAACACAAAGTTGTCCCTCTATGGGCTCATTAGGATTCCTCAGATAAGAGGCCTGACCACTGACCTGGCCATGAGATGACCTCTGACCCTGACCTTGGCCACAGACAGGCTAAGACACCTACCTATCTCAGAGCCTGACCACAAAGTGACTCCTGATCCTTAGGATGGCTCAACCCTTCCTGCTTGCAAGGGGACCCCTACCTGTCCACCTGTCATCCATAGCCGGGAAGCATTTATGCAGCATCTGCTGTAGGCTAGGCCCTGTGCTGACAGCCAGCAAGACCAAGGTGCCCTTGTGGACTTCACAATGTGCTTTGGGAGCACTAACATAATCTGTGTATGAGGTCAGGAAAGGCATCCCAGAGGAGGGAAGACTGGAGACTCCACGTGGGTCTTGAGGGATGTGTTTTCTGATAGAGAAAGAAGGAATAGATATTCCAGACTGGTCCACAAGCAGCAGGACCCACTGGTCACTTCCTGTGGGCAAACCTGATGACGGCCTAGCCTGAGGCAAGTACCGTATGAAACACACTTGTTTCTGTTCTAGAGTGGGCCAGCAGCTGCCTGGAGCATGAGGATGGCTGTGCGGCTGGGGTTCAGAAGCTCTGTGTTCCATTCCGCTCTGCTCCCCAGCTAAGGTAGGTCACAGTTCAGCCTCTGCTCTCTACCCACCAGCCAAATTGAAGCAAATCCTCTATGCAGGGCCTGTCCTGGAAGTTCTGGGGGCACGAGAGTACCGCCTGGGTGGGCGGAAGCCTGTGCTGCAAGAAGGCAGCTGGCCAGAGCTGGCTGTGGAAGGTTCTAGGGCTGTGCTCCCTGTGTAGTGCAGTGGGGCTGGGGAGATGAAGGCATTTCCTTGAGGTGGTAAAACTGAGCTTGAAGGATGGGTGGGGAGTTTCAGAGTCTGGGGTAGGGGGCAGCTTAAGCAGAAACCCTGAGAGTTAGAGCAGGAATAGACCCATCTGGCTGGTGGGAGGCAGGAGAGGGCAAGGTGGGGTGAGGAAGTGTCCCTGAGGCACCTGTGATGGCTGGTCCCTCCTGGACCTGCTCTTTGGGGGGGCAGTGACACCCTGGAGGAGTCAGGAAGCCACCCTGCACACATAAAGGTACACCCGATGGGAAGAAGACACTGAGCCTGGTGGGTGAGGGCAGCAGGGCAGGGCAGCTGGAGCCTGTCTGTATAACCACGAGCTGGAGCTGTTACATCTGACTCTGTGAGTGTGAGGGCTATGCGTGAGCTTTTGTCCCCAAGGCTGTGTTATGTGAGAGAGGTGGGGTGGGGTGGAGGAGAGGTGTGCATTGCTTGGCAGGGTCTGGTTGAATCTATGTGGGTGTGCAGGGTTCCTGGTGTGCTAGGAGATGGGTTTCTCCAGAAAACCAGCCTTGGGACCTGCACCCCACTCATTCCCACACATGTGCTTACGCACCCTTCAAGGGACCCTGGGCCTGCTGGAGGGAAAGCAGGAGGGCCATTCAGAACCCCTCTGTCCCCTCTGCTGTCCTTCCTCCTCCTCCAGCCCCCAGGAAGGGCCAGGCCAGACTGCTGAGAAGGGGCACAGGAGCTGAGTCTGGAGCCCATTCGTGCCTTTAGCATGGGTGCCATTAGGGGCCTGGGTGGCGCCTGCCCTGCCCCATTGTGCGACAGGCTTGGGATTTTTGGATGGAGCAGGCCGCCTCCTGCCTGCTGAGCCCATGCCAGGCCCAGAAGCAGAGAGCATGTGCCCATGGCCCCCTCCCTGTTACTTTCTCAGTTTAGGGGCCCTGGGAAGGGCCCAGCAGACAGGGCCTGGGTCCCAGGACCTCCTCACCAACCCCATTCCGAGCACAGCTGGGGCTGCTAGGCTGGTACTTGGATTTCCGGCCTCTTTCCCTTCCCCCTCAGGCTCTCACATTGTTTTTCTTTTCCAAGAGCTTCTCCACGTGGAGCCCAGCCAGGAAAATGGGGAGAGGAGAGTGAGTGTCCATGTGCATGTTTGTGTGTATGAGTGTGTGTATATGCTTAGTGATGAGTATCTTAGCATGTTCCTGTGTGTATCCATCCATGTGTTGGCATGTGTATGTTTTCAGGTGTGTCTGGGACTCTGTATCTGCAGGTGAGCACCTTTCTGTGCATCTGTATAGTTGTGCATGCATTGGGTCTATCTCTGAGTGTACATATGCCTGCCTGTGTTTCTTTGTGTTTATGTGTATGGGATGGTTGGGGGGGGGGGGATGGCAGGGTCTGCAAATGTGCCTGGGTATGCACAGATGCCTGTGAGTGTACATGAGATCAAGGCCAGCTACCTCATTGCACAGGTGGAGATACTGAGTCACAGAGAGGGCACTCAGCCTTCCAAGGATCCTTTGGAGAGTCTGTGGTATTCTGGGAAATGGAACCTACATCTGTTTGGCTGTGTCTGGGTGCAAACCTTTGTGCAGATATTACTGGAGTTGAGCATATACATTTGTGTGTTTGGACATATAGGTGGTGACAAGGCATCACCAAATACCCAAATGTCTTAAACTTGGACTATGAAAATATAATTCCCAGCTTCATATCTACTGAACTCGACTCTCTGTGGGTGGGGCCCAGGAGACTGTATTTAAAGCAACTGTCCTCTTAGGGGCAGAGAAGAGAGGACCTCGGGGCTTGGGGCAGGACAGGGAGGGAGTGCCAATCTGATGGCTTACCTTTTCACTGCCAATGCTGACAATAGATCACCTGCCAAGAGTGGGAGGGTTAGAGACTGGAAGACAGTGAAGAGAGAACACAGGGTTGGCCAGGCAGTGTTGGGACCAGCCAACACTGAGACAGTGCTCTGGTTGGTTACTCAGAAAAAGAAAGAATAGAGACCAAGGCCTGGCCTCCGGGCTGGTAGGGAAGTAAGGTCATATGTCTCCAGGGGGTGCTGGAGGTGGTCAGAATGAAGCTGCATGGAGAGAGAATGTGGCAGGTTAGGGACAGAAGGACATGTGTCTCATTTAGTCTAAAGGGTGTACAGCCCATGAATAGCAGATCCTGACACCTCACTGCACCCCCACCATCTAACAGACACTGGTTTATTTCCATCATACTACCAGTGTTTGCATGTATTCACCAAACCCTCCCCACTGTTTGCATTTGGACTTCTAGATACCATATCTGGATTAGCTCCTGGTCTTAACCCTGCTGAGCCTCCCTCTCCTCTTCAGTAAATGTCAGTAATTTCCCTCGAGTCTGTTGAGGCAAATAAATGAAATAATTCACATAAGGCATGGTACCTGGCCTGTAGTTGGCCCTCCACACATATCATTGTCATTGTTATCATGTGCTAAAAGTAAAACTGGCCAGGAACCAGCTTCTGCCCTCAGCAAACTCACAGCCTGATGTGAAAATGGGGAGCAGACAGGGACTCATAAATGGTACAGCATACTTTCTCGGCCTTTTGGCTAAGACCAAGTGTAGTATCTGTTCTTAACAGTTTAATAGATGGTACAGCAAGGTTAGTTAGTGTAGTGATGGAGACAGTCAGGGTCTGACCACCTGACCTGAGATGGTCCAGGAGGACTTCCAGGAGGTGGTGATATCGCATAAATTTTAAGGATGAGAAGTTAGCCCAGTGTAAAAAAGAGACAGGAGGGTCAGCAGGAAGCATGCTGTGTTCAGAATGGAGATGGGGAAGTAGTACTCAGTGTGTGAGAGGGGACCTGAAAGTTGGGGACAGCAGATCAAGGTTGCAGATCAGCTGCCATTGCTGCAGATTGAAGGGACTGGAGTGGGGAGTCTGGAGGCCAGTGAGGAATGGTTGCAGGCCCTTGCCCATCATTCCAGCCTGCGGGGGGAGGAGGGGTTCTCCTGGAGCAGACCATTTTCTCTCCTGCCTTTGCCCATGCCTCCTGCCAATTATAACCTTCCCAAGGCTGATCTTACTGATACGGACAGATGGTGGCCACAGCCTAATAATGGTGTACTCTCCCACAGGTCCCAGGAGGCATCCCCCATCCAGCGGCCAGGAGAGCAGAGGGTGGCGGTAGTGGCCATCATGCACAGTGGTATCGCATCTGCCAAAAGTGCCCCGCGCTGCCCCTGAGTTCAGCCCAAGTTCAAGTCCAGCGCCCACAAGCCCACTTGCACCATGAGCCATGGGCCGAGCCCCCGGCTGACCGAGTCCCCGCAGCTGTCCAAAGGCAGCCTCCTGACCATCCTAGGCAGCCCATCACCGGAGCGTATGGGGCCAGCGGACTCACTGCCACCGACGCCGCCCAGCGGCACTCCGTCCCCGGGTCCGCCCCCCGGCCTGCCGCTGCCCCCGGCGCCGGTGCTGCTAGCCGATGGGGACTGGGAGAGTCGCGAGGAGCTGAGGCTGCGGGAGCTGGAGGAGGCGCGCGCGCGGGCGGCGCAGATGGAGAAGACCATGCGTTGGTGGTCGGACTGCACTGCCAACTGGCGTGAGAAGTGGAGCAAGGTGCGCGCAGAGCGCAACCGCGCACGTGAAGAAGTGCGCCAGCTGCGCCAGCGCCTGGACGCGCTCACCAAGGAGCTGGCTGGCGCCCGCCGCGAGCGCCAGGAGGCACAGGGCGAGTGCGAGGCGCGGGGCCGGGAGCTGGCGCGGCTGCGGGGTGCCCGGGGAACCGCTGACCCAACGCCCGATGGACCCGAGACAGAGCCTGAGCGGGAGCACGAGCCTGTGCGCGATGTCGGGGCAGAGAGACCGCAGAGCAGCCAGGTGTGTGGAGGAGGTGGGGCTGCTGGGCAGGGCCTTAGTTCTTGGGTCCGAAAGTGGAAGGGGCAGATTGATATGGGCAGAAGTGGAAGCTGCCCGGCTCAGAAAGGGGGTGCTAAGGGCCTGGTTCCCTAAGGGGTTTCACTCCTATGGGTGGACCTGGTAGGGCCCCAAATCACCTCCCTTCTGGAGACCGCTAGGACAGAGAGTCCTGGATTCTGGTGGTCCCCACTCCAACACCTGAGTAGTCAACAGAACCAGGGAATCATCCCTTTACAGCAGTGGTTCTCAACCTTCCTAATGCCGCGACCCTTTAATACAGTTCCTCATGTTGTGGTGACCCCCAACCATAAAATTATTTTCATTGCTACTTCATAACTGTAATTTTGCTACTGTTATGAATCGCCATTGGAAATATGTGTTTTCCGATGGTCTTAGGCGACTCCTGTGAAAGTAGGGTCTAAGTAAGTACTTGCCTGGAAGGGCATCATCAATAGCAGAGTTGAATCCATTCATTCATTCAACTTGAATTTGGGAGGAGAGGTAAACATATATAACAAGCATCAATTAAAGCTGAGTGGTGGGCCTTGGCTGGTTTGGCTCAGCAGTTAGAGCATCGCCCCCAAACCAATGAGTCTCGGGTTCAGTTCAGTGAGGGCATGTACCTCGGTTGCCGTTCATCAGAGGCAACTGGTCGATGTGTCTCTCTCACACCCATGTTTCTCTCTCTCTGTCTCTTCCTCCCTCCCACTCTATCTGATGATAAATAGAAAAATATCCTCTGGTAAGGATTTAAAGAAACAAACAAACAAAAAATGAAATAAAACAAAACAAAACTGAGGGGTGGGAGGCTGTGAGGGCACTAGGAACACGAAGGAGTCCCTGATCCAGGCTTTGGGGAGGGACTTCACAGAAGCTTTCCTGAAAGAGGTTCCTTTTAAGCTGAGACTAGGAAAATGCAGAGGAATTGGCTGTGCAAAGTGAGAGAGGCACTCCAGGCATGGGAATGGCCCACGCAAAACAGAGGCAGAGCGCGCCTGGTGAGCTTGGGCACTGGCAATAACAGCTCCCCTCATTCACTGGGCATCTGCACAGAGTGCTAAGCTCTGCGTGTGCGTTATCTCGTTCATTCTCACAACAGCCCCAGGGGGTATTTGCATTGTGGAGGATACTGAGGCACAGAGAGGTTAAGTCCCAATGTCTCCCAGCTGGTGACAACTTACTGGTGATAACCAGTATGGCCAGAGTATTATTGGTGGGTGTGGAGGGCAGCCTCCCCCTGAACCAACAGGCCTGTCACCAGAAAGCCATCTAGGGGCAGAGTCCAGGCTCTGGTTGCTCCTAGCTCCATCCTCAAACTCTAGCTAAGATTCTTGGTTGCCCCTCCCCTGCCCAACTCCCTTCACTCCTGTAGCCTAGAGTAGGCACTGCCACCTCCTAGGAACTGAAGCTCCCTCTTTCCCAGGCCTGCCTGGTGTTTGGAGGTGGCATTCATTGCTCACAGTCTGTTCCTGTCCAGCCCAGGATGTAGCAGGTACAGCAGTGAGAGCCCGGGGGTTGCAGTCTGAGTTTGCTTTCCAGCCCAGCCACTTCTTCGTCTGTGACCCAGAACAAGTCCCTTGCCTCCCTGTTTCCCCATGTGTAAAACGGGGCTTTGGACCAGGTGGCACCTAAGGCCCCCACCCAGACTTGGAGACACAAGAGGAGTAGAATCTTATTCCTCGGGCAGCTCTCAGAGCCAGTGTCCCAGTCTAGCAGGGAAACCGAAAGCCAGTAAGGGAAGGGGCTAGCCACTCCTCTGGAAAGGTCATGGGGGCCCTGGCCGGTTTGGCTCAGCGGTTAGAGCGTCCACCTGCGGTCCGGAGAGACCCGGGTTCGGTTCCCACTAAGGGCCTGTACCTTGGTTGCAGTTTGACCCCGGCCCTGGTTGGTCGTGCGGGTGGCAGCCACTCGATGTGTCCCTTTCACATCGATGTTTCCCTCTCTCTTCCTCTCTCTCCCTCCCACTCTGTCTGCACGAAGGATGGAAAAGTGTCCTCGGGTGAGGATAAAAAAAAAGAAGAAAGGTCATGGGGAAGCCAAGCTGGAACAGAGGCCCCGGGTGTCTCGGGTTGTGGTCAAGGCAGCCTTGAGGGTGGACAGGGGCAGGTCAGAGGAGAAGAGGGAAGGGGAGGATCAAGAAGGGAAAGGGGGCTTGGCATTGGGTTAATAATCCCTCATAGCTTCCTGTCTGGGAGTTGGTTCTGCTCAAAGGGCTGCCTTACCATTCACCTTTACCATGTCCCTTATTTCCTGGTACCTTAGTGTTTGCACCTGAAAAGGGGATCTTACAGCCAGAATTCCTTTAGGAGGAATTTAGTTCTTACTCATTGTAGGAATCCTCTGCTTCTACATTGATTTACACCAATGTCCCACCATATGTTTGCATACTTACAGTGACAGGGAATTCACCATTTCTCCTGGGAAATCTTCCAGGATACAGGGGACCTTGGAGGCTGACTCTGTGTGCAGTTCCAGGAGGAGAAAGGGGAGGTCCAGAGGAGGCTTTGTCCCTCCCTTTCTAGGATGGAGGGGCAGACTACAAAACGGAGAACTGGGGCCCAGAGGGCTGTGTCGCTTGCCCAAGGTTACCTACCAAGCTGATTCCAGACTCAGGACCTGGCAAAGGCCAAGAGGGTTCAGCAGCCACTGGTCCAACTTGTGCCTTGATCCCTGCAGGAGCTGGAGCTGGTGGAGAGCCTGCTGAAGAGCAGACCAGAGGAGCCCGAAGGCTGCTGGGAGGCACGCAGTGTGGGGGCCGGGGGCCCACGGGGCAGCTCGGGCCGCCAGGAGCGCAGCCGGCTGCCCTGGGAAGACACAGCTGCCATCGAGGAGGATGCCTCCAAGTTGACTGCCCTACGGCTGCGGCTGGATGAGTCCCAGAAGGTGCTGCTCAAGGAACGAGAGTGAGTCCTGGGAGACAGGCAGGTGGCAAGGTGGCGATCCAGAGCACCCTCAGCATCACAGGATGAAAATCAGTGTCACAGAATGTGACTCGCTGAAGGGGAATGCTACTTCTTGGGCTCGAGTCTTGCAACATTAGAGTAGTAGTGCTCCTCCTGAGGATCCCGTGCACTTTTTAAAAAATTAATTCAAATAATATGTACTGGGCTTGTGCTCTGGGTCAAGCACTATGCTTGGCTATGAGGACACAGCCATAAATGAGACCAGAAATCCCCATCTTTGTGAAGCTTATGTTCTAGTGGCAAGAGAGTGCTGTGGACAAAAATATAAGCAGAGAAGGAGGGACAGAGAAGTTGAGGGGTTGCGGCTACGAATTTGATTTTGGATGCGTTGAGTCTGAGATGGCAGGGTGGCAGCTGGGTATGTGAATGAGTCTGCAGTTGGTGAGACAGGTCCGCGCTGGAGGTAAAAATTGCGAGTCATCAGCGAATAGATGATAGTGAAAGCTGTGAGCCAGGTGAGAGTGGTTAGCGGGAGGTCAGAGGATGGAGCCCTGGGCTGACCAAGTTTAGAGATCAGTTACTGGGGAACCTTTTTGTGCCAAGGGCCATATGGATATTTATATCATTCGCAGGCCATACACAATTATCAACTTAAAAATTAGCCTGCTGTATTTGGTCAGGCTAACTTGGTGAGATGTGTGATGTTAGTGGTATTGATTTCATATCGGTGGACGTTCCCCACCCCTGATAGAAGAGGGAGGCAGCAAAGGAGGTGGGAGAAGGGGCCAGGGAGAGGCACGGAGACCAGGAGAAGCCATTCACAGAAGGCGTGATCAGCTGCTCAGGAAAGTGGATTCAGAACATGGAGGTCACCTTCATCAGGGCACAAGCCTGATGATAATGAATATTGTAACTCCCCCTTTTCCATCCAGAAATTAAATACATAGTAAACTAACTACTTATAATTTTTTAAAAATCAACATGTTGCCGTATAACCATGAAGGCAAATATCAGGGTGATGCTTGCACAAGCCAAGGAACACCAAGATGGCCAGCAGACCCCAGAAGCCAGGGGAGAGCATGGGACAGGTTCTCACAGCCTTCAGGTGGAACCAACCCGCCACACCTTGATCTTGGACTTCTAGCCTCCAGAACTATAGGACAATAAACATTCACTTAAAAAATCAAAAATCAACCTAATGTACTAACAAATATAAAGCAGAAAGGAAAAGAATTTAAAATAAAATATATGTACAATTGACCCTTGAACAACACAGGAGTTAGGGGTGCCGAGCTCCTTGGAATAAAAACTCCATGTAGAACTTTGACTCCCCCAAAACATAACCATGGTCATCTCTTGTTATCTGTAGGGGATTGGTTCCAGGACACCCCTCCCCCAACAGACACCACAATCCACAGATGCTCATTTGGGTCCCTTATATAAAATGTCATATACAGTGCATATAGTTGGCCCTCTGCATCCAGATTCCAAACCGCAAATCAAAAATACTGCAGAGCCTGGCTGGTGTGGCTCAGTGGTTGAGCATTGACCTGTGCACCAAAAGGTTGCCAGTTTGATTCCCAGTCAGGGCACATGCCCAGTTTGTGAGTCAAATCCCCAGTGGGGGGCATGCAGGAGGTAGCCAACTGATGTTCTCTCTCATCGATGTTTCTATCTCTCTCTCCCTCTCCCTTCCTCTCTAAAAAAAAAATCAATAAAGAAAAGAAAAAAAGATCACAGAACCTGGGGATACGGAGGGCCAACCTTATATTTATTGAAAAAATGTTTGCATATAAGTGGACCTGCACAGTTAACATTCTAGTTGTTTAAAGGTCAACTGTATCATGACATGGAAATGCTTGGGCACAGCTCTACTAGAAGAAACAAGGTGGTGAGAATCTGGTGGCTTTATGTGGAATGACAGTGATGATGACCATGACAAGTACTAACAGAGCACGTACTCTGAGTCGGGCATATGCTGAAGCTTTATGAGCATTTGCCCATTTAAGTCACCTGCTGGGGCGTCTAGATAAGCAGCAGGTGCACGTGTGCGGGGTTGGCAACGCAAATGCCCCGGCGGTGTCACTGTGGTGATGAGATTTCCTGAGCGGTGAACTGCCTTTGGTAAAGTTCTGAACACAGCACAGTGCAGTCTTCCCTCAATGTGTCAGCAGTTCCATTCCTGGAGAACTGTTAGTACAAAGGCACTTCCTGTTGATGTGCAAATCGGGGTGAGGTTCTAGGCTCAACGCATGTTCACCCCCAGGGATGTCCAACAGGACATGTACACATTAACTGGGATGCAGGATAATTCCTGGATGGGCAGGATGTCCATCCTGGGCATTGCAGGGCACCGGGTACCCCTGGTCCTTGCCCACTAAATGACCCTGTCATGATAACCAAAAACGGCCTCACAGATTTCTAAAATGCATCCTAGAGGGTGGCATTGTCTCCTCTGAGGACCCTGTGTTAGAGGCCTGACATGGTAGACTGGCAGAAGGGAGATGGCGTGGTGTGGGGCAGCATGCTGGAATGGAATGCCAAATTCAGCCACTGGTGCTCTGCTTGGTACCTATGACACCTCATTCGTGTGCAGGGTGGGGTCATGGGAGAACATGGGAATCTCTTCCAGTGATGATGACAAGAGGGAACCCCTAGGTCCAAGGATCACTGGGCAGTATTTTCTAACTGCAGAACCATGTTTTCAAACCAAGCCTTACAGGGAACCACAGTACATGAAACAGGAGCAGGGGTCATATTTGGCAGATGGTCCTGGGGCCCAGAGAGAGGGAAGCACCTACCAAGAGTGGCCAGTGCCCTGGAGGCCTTGTCACCTCCCCACACCATGAGCTAGGCACCTGCAGTTGTGGGAGAGGTACAGTTCCAGGAGAAATGCAAAACCTGCCACAGTGTGGGGTGCTAGGGCCTTGAATGCCGAGGCAAGAACTTTGGCCATGCGTTCTACAGGTGCAGACTGCTTAGAAGGACTCTGAGCAGAAGGCTCATCCCCATGTCGGCTCTCTTTGTCCTCTCCCCAGAGATAAACTGGCACTGAGCAGGAACATTGAGAAGCTAGAGGGGGAACTCAGCCAGTGGAAGATCAAGTACGAGGAGCTGAGCAAGACAAAACAGGAGATGCTCAAGCAAGTGAGTCTTGGAGACCAGGGGGGGCTTCCTGGAGGAAGCGGCATTGTGCTGCTGAATTTTAGCAGTGGGAATGGAAGAAAGAAGGGAATCCATTCATTGTCAAGCATTGGCCATGTGCCTCACACTGTTCTGAGTACTGGGGTGAGCAATGTCCCTGCCTTCAGGAGTTCACCTGTGGGAGGGGATGCAGGGAAGACCGACAGGAACTAGGCAAATAAATTCATAAGCTATGAAGGAGTCACAGCATTATAAGACTGATAGGGTGATAGGTCAGGAAAGGCCTTTCTAAGAAGGTGACATTTGAGGCAAGACCTAAAGGGATTAGAAGAAGCCACCCTTGAGAAGATAATGGCAAAGTTCCTAGCAAAAGGCACTGCAAATGCAAAGGTCCTGAGGCCAGAACAAACCTAACGTGTACAGAAAACAAGCCAGTGTGGCTGGAGAGTAGTGAGTGAGAGCTGAGGTTGCAAGGAGAGCTTTGTAGACCAAGACGAAGGGAAGGAGTCTGGATGATGCTTCTTCATTGGTTGCCTAGTGTGTGCAAGATCTTTTGAAGCCTCATGGCAGTCAGGAGGCTTCCTCATTTTATTTTTATTTTTTAATTTTTTTATCCTCACCTGAGGACACTTTTTTTTCTTGCATTTATCTTCAGATAGAGCGGGAGGGAGAGACGGAGGAAGAGAGAGACACATCGAGTGGTTGCCACCCGCACGACCCCAACAGGGTTGGGGACAAACTGCAACCGAGGTACATGCCCGAGCCAAACCGGCCAGGGCGGAGGCTTCCTCATTTTATAAATGAGGAAACTGTGGCTCCAGCTGGCAGAGAAGGGATTCAGCTTCACCACCACAGTGCTGGGGACTCAGAGCAGGTGGGGGTCAGTCTAGGCAGCCCTTCTTGCCTCCTGTGCAGGCCTCCATGGCCACCAGGGGGCACAGCCACCCAAAGAAAGCTGGCTAGATTGGCTGCATTTCCAGAAGGCAGTGGGACCACAGATCTGGGAGCCTGAAACTGCCCTGAAAGGGACTGACACTTGTCTTAGGGAAGCTTCTAAAACATAGATTCCCAGACTCCACCCTCACCCTCCTGAATCATCATCTTTGGGGCTTGGGTTTAGTAATAGGCCTTTTTAATTTTTTCAAATTGTGAAGTGTAATCATTTGCAGAAAAGAGAATAAAACACAAATGTGCGGTTTCACAGAGAGTTATAAACATTCGCTTTTGCCCTGGCCGGTTTGGCTCAGCGGTTGGAGCGTCGGCCTGCGGTACAGAGAGACCTGGGTTCGGTTCCCGCTAAGGGCATGTACCTCGGTTGCAGTTTGTCCCCGGCCCTGGTTGGTCGTGTGGGTGGCAGCCACTCGATGTGTCCCTTCGCATCGATGTTTCTCTCTCTCTCTCTTCCTCTCTCTCCCTCCCGCTCTATCTGAACAAAAAATGGAAAAATGTCCTCGGGTGAGGATAAAAAATAAAATTAAAAAAAAATTCGCTTTTGTATCTGACTTCTTGACCTCAACATATGTATTTAACGCCCATCCCTGTCGTTGCACGGAGCAGTAGTTTGTTGATTTTCCCTGCTGTCAACAGCCACTCTGCACTATGTCGAAAGTCCCATGCGACTCTGACGTGGTCAGCCCTGCAACCACACGCAGACCATGTTCAGATCCACTGGATGCATTTAGCCAGTGTACATACAGGGGTACAGAGATGGGCAGACAGACAAGCTCTCTATCCTCCCAAGCTCCCATTCTAGTGGGGAGTCGGATGGCAAGTAGAGGAGGCACCCCCTCCAGGTGGGGAGGACAGGAGAGGCCTTCCTGAGAAGGGAGCATTTAGGCCAAGGCTTGAGAATGAGAAGAGGCTATGCTGCAAAATACCTCAGAAAAAGTGTATGAGGCAGAGGGAGCCACATGTGCAAAGGCCCTGGGGTGGACAGGGTGTATTTAAGGATTAGGAGGCCGCACAGTGATCAAGAGGAATGAGGTGGAAGGGCTTTGTGAGACCATAGGGAGGAGTCAGCCTTTACCCTAAGGAACCCAGGATGGGGACATGACTGCATTTCTCTTTTTTACAGCTCACTCTAGGCTACTGTTGTGGAAAATGGGTTGATGGGGGCTAAGAGTGGACACGAGGAGGCTAGATGGTAATGAGGTAGGGAATGAGAGATGGTGGAAGCGGCACAAGTGGTCAGATGCAAGGTCAGTTCTGGATACCCGGTGGCCCATTTGGATACCACCTCCTCGCTGAGCACTCCTCACCAGTGCCCACCCCCAGAGCTGGTTCTGGGTGGTGCTCACATAACCAGTCTGGCCTGTACCCTGCAGCTCAGCATCCTGAAGGAGGCTCACCAGGATGAGCTGGGCCGCATGTCTGAAGACCTGGAGGACGAGTTGGGCGCGAGGTCCAGCATGGACAGGAAGATGGCTGAGCTGAGGGGCGAGGTGGGGCTGTTGTTGGGACCTGGGAGGGCTGGGAAGCCAGGGTCCCTGTGCTCTGAGAGGGACCAGCCACACTCCGGGGGGTACCCCAATCTGCAGGCAGTCTCCCGCAGAGACCAGAAGCGCCCTCACATCCTGCACACGTGAAATAAGCCCAGGTTAATTATAGCCACTGCAGCTGGGCCTGCTTTCTGGAGCCAAAAAATGACTCCAGACGGGGTTGGGGTGGGGGGAGCATCCAGCTCAGGCCCTTCCGTGCCCTCCTTTCCCAGGGGCCCTCACCCTATCCTGCCCTGTTCCAGATGGAGCGACTGCAGGCAGAGAATGCAGCCGAGTGGGGTCGCCGAGAGCGGCTGGAGACTGAGAAGCTGGGCCTGGAGCGGGAGAACAAGAAGCTTCGGGCACAGGTCGGGGACCTGGAGGAGGCCCTGGCCCGGCGGCGGCGGCAAACAGCCAGCGTGCTGGACTGTGACCTACGGGCCAGCCAGGCTGCACTCTTCGAGAAGAACAAGGTGGGGCAGTAGGTGATGTGGCCAGGACTGGGGCAGCCCTGCCTCCCCAGCCAGCCAGGGCAGAGCAGCTGCCGTGTGTCCAGTATGAGCCCACAGGGACCCGGTGACCCCTGAAATAACAGCTAAGGACTAGGTGATGATTGTCTAGAAGCTGCTCCTCCTGGGCACCCAGTTTGGGTCAGGCTCAGTGATAACTACAGTACCTGCATTTATTAAGCACCTTCTGTGGGCCTTGTGCCAGTGTTTTGTCCATTATATCACTTAATTCTCCAATTGCTCTTTTATTTATGCAACAAATGTTTATTGAGACTGTGTGTAGGCCATGTTCAGAAGCTGTGGGCCACCTCTGAAGAGCAAGATGGGTGTAAATCAAGTTCTGAGCTCCCATTGGCTGCTGTGTGGAAGGTGGATGGGAAGGCAGACCTGTGGGGAGGCTGTTGCCTTTTCTGGGGCAGCAAGAGGTGATGAAGGCCTAGGCCAGGCCAAGGTTGGTGGAGATGGAACAAAGAGGATGGATTCCAGAGACCTTTAGGCAGCGCCTAGCCCCATCTTACAGATGTGAAAACTGAGGCTTGGAGAAATCCCAGAGCTCAGGGATGGGCATCTCCTTTCCTGGCTGTTCATCCTCTTCTCAGCCACTCTGGCTTCTGGTCTCTTTTCCTTTGACACCCACTCCCAGCTTAGTTCATTCTCTGACCCAGGCCTTTAAGTGCCATGTATACACCAAAGACTCCAGACCTCATCCCTCCCCAGAAAACCCGACTCAGCTCCAGTAGCTTGCTGGACATCCCATGTCATTTCTGGTAGGCACCTCAAAGTTACATGTTCAAAATGGAGCCACCAAGTCACCTACCCAGATCTCTCCCCTCATTGACCCCCAAGCCTTCTCACCTCACTAGATGGCGCCTCTGGCCTCCAGCTGCTCATCCAAACCTCTGTTGCTGGTATTTCCAACAACAGGTGGAGAGATTCTGGGAAGAAGGGACACCAGCATGGTGTGCTCTGAGGTTGAGCCCTCCCCTCGTCTCTGCTCCACTGTAGGAGCTGGCGGACCTGAAGCATGTACATGGCAAGCTGAAGAAACAGTTCCAGGAGAAGGTGGCAGAGTTGGCACATGCCAACCGGCGGGTGGAGCAGCACGAGGCAGAGGTGAAGAAGCTGCGGCTGCGAGTGGAGGAGCTCAAGAAGGAGCTGGCCCAGGCTGAGGATGAGGTGAGCACCTGCCGGGGCCCGAAGGGCGACCTCCAGACCTCAGCTGGGAAAGGAGTGTCGCTCCATGCTGAGTCCCCAGTCCCCGGCATGAGCCCGACTCTCAGGATGTGCACAGGGTAGGGTGGGTGGGTGGGTGGGTGATGGATGGAGGGTAGATAGGTGTGTGTGCAGGAGAGTGGGAAGAAAAATGGACAGATAAGGTGGATGAGAGGTAGAATAGATTAATGGGTAGATGAGTGGGTAGCTGTGCAGGTGGTTAAATGGAAACAGAAGGACAACTCCATGGATGGATGGACAGATGGATGAGGGAGGGAGGATGGATGGATGAGATATGACAACAGATGTCTGATAGGTGGATGGTTGGATGGGTGGATAGATGGATGAGTATATGGAAAGATGGATGACTGGGTGGACAGTGGAAAGAGGGATAGACAAGCTGACTGGATCAGTGGGTGGAAGAAGAAATGGCAGGGAAAAGACAGAAGGATGGATAGATGGAAACAAGTGTGTCTGGGAGAGTGGAAGGACACGCGGACAGATAGGGTAAACGGGTGGCCAAGTAGATTAATGAATAGTGAGTGGGTAAGTGGGTATCTCCGAGAGCAGATGGATATTTCCATGGATGAATGGTCACATGGACAGATTGATGGGGATAGATGGGTAGGTGGGTTGATGGATCATCAGTAGCTTGGAGCATTGGAGGATGGGAAGATTTAGAAGGGAGGGGCAACAGGGATGGAGAGGAGCAAAAGGAATGCTTCCCGGGGGCGGGGGGGGGGGGGGGGCTTGGTCTAGGCCTCAGAGGAGAGATAGGGCCTGGTCTCCAGGAAAGACATTCCCACTGAAGAATGGCAAATGGCAGGCCAGGCTGGCCCAGCCCAAGGTGACTCCCATACTGTTGGCCCTGCTCACCCCCCAGCTGGATGAGGCCCACAACCAGGCACGTAAGCTGCAGCGGTCGCTGGACGAGCAGACGGAGCAGAGCGAGAACCTGCAGGTGCAGCTAGAGCATGTGCAGTCCAGGTGGGCCCCCACGTGCACCCCTGGGGGGAAGGGTTCTAGCCGGGTGAGGACTCCTGGCCAGGGCACAGAAACAGAGCAGAGAGCCTTCCAGCCAAAGGAAACTTCCCTCCTTCCGGGTAGGATTGGAGCTCAGGCTAGAGAAGACAGAGAAGGAAGAGGGCTGGGCTCCCTGGAGCCAAAATCCTGTCCCCTCGGACAGGAAGGGCCAGGGCCAGGAAACCAGGGAAGGGAGTGCAGGAAGTGAGACCAGCGGGAACCTGGAATTGTCTCCTATAGCCAGAGATCAGGAAGGGTGGCCAAACAGGTCAGGGCCAATTTGGGGCAATAGGTAGGGCCCATGGGCCTGGGAAGCCATTGACTAAAACAAGCAGCCCTCAGGGTCCCCAGGCTGGGTTGACCCCAGGTCAGCTGGGATCAGAGGAATTGGAGGAGCCCCGGCCTGATGAGCCCGAGCCCTCAGACAGGACCACAGAATCTCTGGGGGACCCACCAGCACACTCTACGTCTCTCTTCTGCCCCCCTCTCCATTCCAACACCCTGTGACTCTGATATCCCTTACAGCCACGAGAAACCAGAAAACATCAGGTCCAAACCCCTCCCCACTTCACAAGCTCCCTACCTGACCGACTCTTCCTGGGCTGGGCCCTGGGCAGCCCTTATTCCCATCCTCTTATTTCATGGACTTGAGGGAGCCTGGGCTCTGCAGCCAGGCTGACGGGGTGGTGGGAATCCTGGCTCTGAGCTTGAAGCCGTGTGGTCTTGGGCCACTGAACTTCTCTGTGTTGGTTTCCTCATCTGTAAAATGGGGACAATAATAGTTCTTACCTCTTGGTGGTTGATAGAATTAAATGAGCTGGTATGTGTTTCTGAAAGTACCGGGTACATCATAAATGCTGAATAACTGTCAGCTGCTGCTGTTATTACTAACCCTGAGTGGGGGGACTTATATTGGGCCAGATGTTGTGCTACAAGAATTGTGCTCCTGTAAAAAGTGGAGGCAAAGATTTCTTGCTAGGGAGTTGGCAGATGAGGAAACTAAGGCACAGGAGGGTAAGTCCTTCCACGGCCACGCCCCTCACCCTTGGCCGCCTGCCATTGGAGCCCTACTTACGGAGCATGCGCTGTGTGCAGCTGTGTGTTTCTGTGAAGACTACCCACTCTGGAGCCAGACCTAACAGCCACGTGACGGCCAACAAGCCTTAGTTTCCCTGTCTGCCTGGGATGTACCCAGAAAGAGTTGGGCAGGGGTCCAGGCATGAGCCCACGTCAGGCCATGTCTGGCCAGCTCTGCCCACTCCCGCCCCCTGCCCCCCTGCCCCAGCACACACCCCATAAAAGGCGCCTAGCCCCAGGGCTTTCCCACCGCCTTGGCTACATTCTTCGGGAGCCATAAACTCCCAAAATGGACAGGCAGGCGCTCCCCAGCCTCTCAAGCGCTTCCATCAGGGAGGGCGCGGCTGCCCAGGACCGATGCCTCATTTTCTTTTCCAACTTTCTGTGCTTTAATGTTCCGGGGACAGCGCACTAAATCACAGCGCAGTAATGGAGGCCCCTGCCTGCGCCCCTCCCGCCGCGTTAATAATTCATGCCTTCCAGGAAGATGCCGCCAGGGCCGCTGTGGGGGAGGGGCCTCTCCTCCACGGCTCTCGGGTCCAAGTTTGCCCGAGACATTTTGACTTTAGGAACTTTAACGTGGGGAGGGACTAGGGCAGAACACTTTCTCACTGACACTAGGGATGTGGGGACTCAGACCCCTAACCCCCAAACTCTCTCTCTGTGGTCTTTAGAGCAGGGCTCGGGCTTGAATCCCAGCAGCATGATCTTGAGCAGCAGCTCAGCGCTCCAAGCCCGCGCCCACTCACCCACTCCGGAGCCAGCCCACTCCCTACTGTCCGGGACTTTGGGCAAATTACTCGCCTGCTTGGTGCCTCGGTTTCCTTGTCTGTAAAATGGGGGTGACAGTAGCACCTCTGTCATTTCAGGGACTTCTGGGAGGGTGATGTGATGAGGTAATGTTGGGAAAAGGCCCAACCTGGTGCCTGGCAGGGGGATTCTGCTGTCAGCCCAGCTGATGAGATCTGTGCCTTGTCCCCGCTGTCACCCACCTCGCAGGCTCCGCAGGCAGCAGCAGAATGCCCCCCTCTTCGGAAAGATCCGCAGTGCTCGCTTTGGCACTGAGGAAACCGGGGATGGAGCCAGCGACCTGGATGAGGATGAAGACCTGCAGATCCAGGTGGCCTAGAGCTCCCAGGGCTGGCAGGACTGGCCCAGGCCACAGGCCCCGGGGTGCCCAGACTGACTGGCCACTTGAACTGAGGTGGCTGCCTGTGCTCGCTCTAGGAGCGACCCCCTCCTTGCCGCAGACGACCCCTTCTCTCCCAGAGTGGGTGTCCATGTTTCACCCTGCAACTCCGCATGGAAGGGAAGCCATGGCCTATGTTTTACAGAGAGAGAGATTTTATGTATCTATATATGCCTGGTGTTATAAACACAATACTGCTCCAAGGCCTGGTCTAAGCTCCCCGCCCCGCCCAGGACTTTCATGTAGGGGGAGGGGGATGTCAAGAGAGGGCTGTTGAGTCCCCAACCCAGGCTGCCTCTCTGAGCCTTGAGGGTTGGGTGGAGCTGTTCATAGTGAATTGTGATAAATCCAGTCTTTTGTAATAAATAAGTTGAGGTTCTTGGGGTGGAGTCCTGAGAATGCAGCAGATCTGGGCAGGCGGTTTGGGGGATAGCATCAGCCTACACCTGGTACCGAACCTGAGTTCAATAACATCAAGTGATTTAGTAAATGAATGAATGTGAGAAAGAATGAGTGAACATCTGAGCTGCTGAATGGTCTGGAATTCAGCTCCTGTGAGGGGAAGAAGAAAGTATGGTACGTGTGTTATCTGGAGAAGAGGAGACTTAAGTCTGGCACCAGATTGATTCAGATCTCAGCTTTGCCCCTTATTGGCTGTGCAACTCTGGGGAAGTTACTTGCCCTCTCTGAGCCTCAGTTTCTCCACCTATAAATTAAGCGTCTCACAGAGCCATCCTGAGGATTAGATGAGTTCATCTGGAGCTCAGTAAAGATTAGTTATTATTGAAGTACTTGAAGGAATGCCCTGGAGAGGAGGGATTTGCCAAGTGGGTTCTGCCACAGGGATGAAGTTCGGGCAACTGGTAGTTTATCTAGAGGTAGGTCTAAACACAATAAATAAATTCTTTTATCTTTCTGCTAGCCCTGCTCTAGGAAGTGGAATTACAGGTAATTTTAATTTTATTTTTGATACTTAATCTCTAAGTGTTCTATAACCAACAGACTTATAGTAAATCTGGTGGAAAATGTTATTAAAAACAGTAGCATAGCCCTGGCCAGTTTTGCTCAGCGGTTAGAGCGTCAGCCCACAGACCAGAGAGTCCTGGGTTCGGTTCCCACTAAGGGCACGTACCTCGGTTGCAGTTTGTCCCCGGCCCTGGTTGAGGTCGTGTGGGTGGCAACCACTTGATGTGTCTCTCACATCGATGTCTCTCTCTCTCTCTTCCTCCATCTCTCCCTCCCGTTCTATCTGAATAAATATGCAGAAATGTCCTCAGGTGAGGATAAAAAAATGTTTTTAAAAACAGTAGCATACATTTTTTAATCTTTGCAAGTCAAGGTAGCATTCAAGACACCTGCCTGTTCAGGTGAAGCACCAGGGCCTGGTTTCTGTAAAAGGAGGCACTGTGAGAATTGTGCTAACATGTGGAAGGTGTGAGTTCCCTGTGTTCAGAGGTGTACAAGGAGAGGCTGGGGCTCCCTGCTAGAGGTGGGGAGCAGCACTCAAGGACTTTGTTATTGTGGCCCAGTCTGAGGGACCCCAGAGGCTACAGCCAGCCGATGCCATGAGCTGTGGGGGCTGAGAGGAGGGAGGAGGCAGGCCCAGGAGCCCAGCTGGGGGTGGTAAATGCAGGCACTGAACACTTGCCTGTGGCCTAAACTAACAGTGCTCGTGAGGTGGGGTTTTCTGTCATGGCAGGGAGGCCCCTGTCACCTCCTGGGCTCCCAGGGGAGAGGATGGAGTTGAGGACACCCAGCCATGGGGATTCCCCCAGTGGGTCTTTCCCCACAAGCCAGGGCTATTGGAAAAGGGGCTGCAGGGAGAAGACCATTACTTGCCAAGGGTCTTTGTTTTCTCTCCCAAACAGGAAGTTGCCCCCAGAAGAAGCTGAAAATGCTGCCCTTTGACCCTTGGGAGCCAAGAGCCAGGCCCTCACTGACAGCAGCCCTGAGAGCTGCCTCCCCAGGGCCCCGGGCAGACATGCCATTCCCAGACACAGAGCAGACCCATGGGCTGGTTCCCCCAGACTCCCTGGCACCTCCAGCAAGATAGTGTTGAGCAGGGGCCCCACTATAGCCCCTGTCTGTGGGCGGGACCACTCCTGAGAATGTCAGTGAGGAGAGGGTCTGGCCTCCCACCTCCTTTATCCAGGGAAAACCCAGGTCTCAGGAGGGGAGGCACAGCAGCAGACAAGGCTACCTCCCTGCTGCGTCCCTTCCGTCCCAATGGTCGTGGTGGTGGCAGCATCTGCCAACAGAAGTGTCAGCTTTGGCCCACGTGATGCTTTAAAAACTATTTAATACATTGCTAATATTAGTAATGGGATTTACTCATAAAAATGTAGGTTTCTTGAGAAGTCAGCACCTTAGGTGACACTGAGCTCACAACCCCACATGGGCACAGCTGCTGGGCGAAGAGGCCAGTGCTCCCTGCTGTGGGGCACAGAGGTGCCCCAGTGGGCTGCAGTCGCCCCCACTCCCTGCAGCCTCACCCTACACCCACCTCGTTTATGTCACGGCCTGGCCCCTGGAAGCATGTGAGTGGTTTTCCTCTGACCTAGTCCAGTCTCTCTGAACAGCTGAGGAAATAGAGTGAAGGGAGGCACTGGCCAAAGTCAGTGTGTAGTGTAGTCAGGACACACATGTCACTCGTGACCTTACTCCTGCAGGTTGCTCATCACCACCGGGGTCACAGCCAGCGTACTAAGCCATGCAATGTGCTTCCCTTGGGAGGCGGGTGCTACTGTCATCTCAGTTCACATGAGGGTGCGAGAGCTCAGAGGAGCAGCAACCATCCCCAGGCCACTGGTTAGTGGTGACACCCTCATTCCAGCTCTGGGCTTCAAGGCCAGACCCAGACTCCTGATTATGATGCCCCTCCAAGGCCAGGCCCCATGTGTGCGACCCCTGCCCCACTCTACAGACCTGGAGCTCCAGCTATGATGGATTCCCTGGCTGCCACCCAGAGTTGCCCCTCCCCCATGAGCGTCCCACAGCCCTTCAAAGCATTAGTGGGTTGTGTACTTGTCTGCTTCTCCTGCCCCACCAGATTCTCCTTCCTGGAGGGCAAAAAAGTCCTTCCAACAGCCAGCACAGTGCCCCGGACCTAGTGGGCATCCTTGAAGGAAGGAAAGATGGATGGATGGAAGGAAGGAAGGAAGGAAGGAAGGAAGGAAGGAAGGAAGGAAGGAAGGAAGGAAGGAAGGAAGGAAGGACCTAAAGCCGGAACCAGCCCACCTCACCCTGCTCCCCACTCCAGTCCCACTGCAGTACCTGCAGGACTGGTTCTGTATGGGCCTTTCTGTTGGTCAGCTAAATCTTCCAAGAAAGCCACAGCAGCCTGGGGGGGGGGGGGGCAGCAGGTACCGCCTCCTCACGGTGCCTGGACTGGCTGGAGAACCGGCTAAGCCAGATGCAGCCCCACCCAGCCCCTCCTCCTGCATCCAGAAGCTCAAGGCCCTGGAATCTGCCCTCCAAAGGCTTGGCCTCCCCTAGCTCCCCAGCTGAGGTTGTTTTTGCCCAGTCTGACTCTACCCGGCAGACCCTGGGGTTCCCTGCCCTGAAATCCATACCCTAGAGTGAGCTCCTTGCCAGCCTGGCTTGTAGACCCAGCTGCTCTCTGATTGGCTGTGTGTCTTCTGGCAAGCTCCTGGCCCTCTCTAGGCTTTTGTTTCCTGATCTGTAAAATGGGAGCCAAAGCAATTGGGTTGTCCAAACCTACATCCAATTATGACTTTACTGTTAGAAGTATTTTTCTGGCTTTCCTTGTGCTCTACATCCCTCCCAAGACCCCAGTGCCCTGTCTGCCTGGGGACCCACCAACCCCCCTGGGCCCTTAGGGGGCAGTGTGGGGAGGGGGGATTGGAGGCAGAGGCAGCACCAGCTGTAGCTGTCAGCTGCCCCCTCCCCCACCCAGACTGCCACCATCACCACCCAACTTCCTCTGCCTGCTAATTGCAGGGTTACAAGATGCCAGCTGCCTCCCAGGCCCCAGGCGGGCACCTCCCAATAGAGCAAAGTCTCCCTGGAAAGCCTCCCAGTCCTTCTCAAGCTCCACAGTCACATTCAGCTGGGGGTGCTCTCCAAGGTGCTCAGACTCCCCCACTGGCCCCAGGGAGGGGTCCTAAAAAGGTATAAACACATGGATTGAGTGTGGTCCCATGGACTGCTGGTCCAGGTTCAATTCCCGGTCAAGGCACATGCCCAGGTTGCAGGCTTGATCCCCAGTAGGGGGCGTGCAGGAGGCAGCCAATGGATGTATCTCTCTCTCTCTTCGATGTTTCTATTGCTCTCGCCCTCTCTGTAAAAAAAAAAAAAAAAAAAAAATCAATAAAAACATATTTAAAACAAAAAGGTGTAAACATAAAGCCTCCTTCTGGTTTTCCCATTTCCCAGGCTTCCCCCACGTCAGAGGAGCATCCTGGCCTCCCCTCCCCCACTCAGGAACTAGCTGAGGCTCCCACTGCTTAGCAAATAAAGTCTCACTCCACATCCGGTGCATGGAGTGCTCCAGACTCACTGTTAAGCACATTCTCCACGTGGCCTCGGTCTCAGGTCTCTTAATCAAGGCCACAGCGCAGACAGCCCCTTGCTATGGCCTCTCCTAGCCCCACTGGCTTTCCCAGCGCTGTCTTATGTCTGCCATCCGCAGAGCAGCAGGGGCCTGATCAGACTGGATGACAACTTCACAGTGACTGTGCTGTGCCTCATCCCTAGCACCTGGACCTGAAGCTCTGGGGGCCGGGGTCCAGGAGTTGATGTCCCCAGGAAAGGAGCAGATCCTCCAGAGCCCATGCTTCTCAGTAGTGCCACTGAATTGTAATCTTCATGATGGCCTGGGAGGTGGACAACAAGATGGGGAAATCAAGGCCCAGAGAGGAAAGGGGCTGGCTGGTAAATGCCAGGGCCAGGATAGAATCTGGCAACTCCAAAGGCTACGTGTTCTCCATGACAGTCCTCAACCCAGGTCTGAGCCAGCTCAGAGCAGGGGCTCTTAATGTTCAAGGGAAGGAGAGAAGAGTGGTTGATGGTGGAGAGAACGCTCTCATCAGCCTCTTCCTTGCAGGTCACTCAGCAAGATCCTGTCCTCCTGCAGGTTGGAGGTGGGGCCTCATTCCCTAGATGAGTACACTGAGGTCCAGTGAGCACCTGGCGACTGTGTCCTGGGAGCCCCAGCTCCTTTCAAGAGGGTCTTAATCCTTCACTCCTTTGACCTCTGTTACAACAGCTCAAGGGAGAGAGCAACCAAACACACGTAGATCTTCCTCACCCCTACCCAGGCAAGAAACTCTGCCTCCCTGAGCCTCAGTTTCCATGTGTGTAACACAGGGTGCTGTGGAGATTAGAAAGGACATTTGTCAAGCCCACAGCATGGGGGTCAACACCCAGCAGTATTGTCCACTTCGCCTGTCATGTCTGTGTGGAGACCAGTTGTCCAGGCAGGAAAAGTGCACTGTCCGCACTGGACAGCGGATCTTTGTCCAAGACCTAACTCTGCCTGTGTGGCCTCCATTCAGTCACACTCAGCTCCCTGCTCTCAGTCCAGTTTCAGAAGCCTCCACGGGAGAGGGATTATCTCATTCCCCCAGGTATCTTAATTGCAGGATGGACTGTGGTTTGGGGGTACCACTGGGAGATCAAAGGCACCTGTGTTCCTGGACCACCATCTCCTCCCCGCCAACCCACCCTATTGGCTGATAAATTGGAGTTAGGTAGGTAACAAAATCCCTTGGGAATTTGCTGGTGAGAATACTTTATCAGATAAAGTTTATCTGATCTCCCAGTTCCTGAGGGGTAAACTGAGGAAGCTGCCAAGCAATGGGGGGTAGATTCAGAAAGAAAAAAAGGGAT